TCTTTATGGCATTAATTATTTGATCATTAATCTTTATGGCATCTAGTACCTCATGAATAATATATCAGATGAATGATATCATGCTATGTCTAGGATATCCTACCCCTTAAGATGACAAAAGTCATCTTAAGGGGTAGGATATCCTTGTCAAGACACATCTTAAGGTGTCCATGAGGGACACTACTGATATTTGGGGCTGGATATGATTTTGTGTGGGAGTTGTTCTGGGCATTGCAGGAATGCTTGTGGCATCCCTGGTCTTTTCTAACTAGTTGCAAATAGTACCTTTCTTATTGGGCAGACATAGAATGAGTGTGTGTGTGTGTGTGTGTGTGTGTATTTATCAAAAGTAACAGCAAACTGGGCATAAACTATGAGAATGGAAATTATATTCTTTCTTCCTTCCTGGATTTGTATGAGGCTTTCTGCGACAACTTATTATAGGTACAATATTACAGGACAAAAATGTCTCCAGACATGGACAATGTCTCCTATAGGGGGGAAAATGAGATTAAATTTTGGTTTTTTAGTTTCAAGAAAAAAAAAGTCCTGTAATTAGGATCTAGAGAACTCTAAAACCTTACACAAAACTACAATTTATGTAAAATATGGACATATCAGATTTGCCTATAGCTAAGGGTTTCAAGAAAAGAATAAATGCCAGCAGAGAGCATCTAATCAAAGAGGTCATACTTCTAGCATTCTGGAGTTTAATTCATGTGATGTATGAGAGAGAAGTTCAGTGTCTTCTGATTTCCACAATACTTGTAGGTACTCCATAGTGTCCTCCCAATTCACATATTGATATCCTAAACCCCTATTTAGGGATAGAGTCTTTAAAGAGGTAATTACCTTAAAATGAAGTAAGTAGGTTGGGCTCCCCAATCCAATTTGACTGGAGCATACAGAAAGAGAAAATTTGAACACTGATGTACAGAGAAAAGACCAGGTGAAGGCATAGGGAGAAGACAGCCATAACCAGCCAAGCTAAGAATACTCAGAGGAAACCCACCCTGATGACACTTTTATATCAGATCTCTAACCTACAGAATTGTGAGAAAATGTTCTTTTAAGCCACTGATTCTGATATTATCCAAGCAAACTTACACACTTTTCTTGACTCTAAATGACTACACCACTGACATTGGGAAGGCAGTGGAGTACAAAAGTATGAAGCTAGAGTACAAAACATTGTCCAAGAGACCCTGCAGTATGAGGGTAGACTGAAGACCAAGGAACACAGAGAAGAATATTTATCATATGAGAGGCCAAGTAGACAGTGATATTTCAGGATTGTTCATTTACCTCCTCTGGTAACGTGATGCTACTACAGAGTTCCCTGAATACAAAAATAGTTAGGATGGGGGAAAGGCCATACTTGATTGATATATTCCCTGACCCCAGAAGAATGGCAATTTGATACAATTGATACTTAAATAGAGGTTCTTTGTATTAGGCAGATGAGAGTGAAGGGAAAATACGAGGGTAGGAAGGATAGTAGAACGATTCAGACATTATTGCTTTATACGATCGCACAACCAGTGTGATTCTACATCATGTACAACCAGAAGAATGTGAAGTTATACTTAATTTATGTATGATGTGTCAAAATGCATTTTACTGTCATATATAACTAATTAGAACAACAAAAAAACACCAAAAAAACCATACAAATCTTTCATTATTCACATTTGTGACCTGAGGTTTTGAGATGTGTTAACTATATTTTAAAGAGCAGAGCCACTTTAGAACTAAAAACCACAAGGTATGAAAATCAGCAGGACTTCATTGCTGAGATACAAGAAGAGAGGTCGAGGGCAAGATTCTTCCATGGCACAAGCTCTAACTATAGAACTTGGGCCCCAATCCTGATCACAGGAGAAATGAGACGCCATGTTTCACTTATAGTGCAACACATTAACTCTACAGCCTCAGCAAAAGGGCCCTTTTCCTAGAGTCTGATATTTACTGTAGCTATATCCTTAATTGCCTACAATCCAATGGATGATAAGGTGCTAATATTGACTACTGTATGGCTCTCAAGTTTCTTGTCCATGAACACTGTTTCTATGCTATATGCAGTTGGTCAGGTCATATCCCCTCATATATTTCACATATTTGTTCTTTCTACCCTACTACCTTATGGTTATTTGAAGCATACCTGGACTTACTGTAGATTCTAGGCTAAATCTAGAGCAGCCCTAATGCTGTTCTATGGCCATTCATTTCCTCAACACAGGCTATACTCCCTAGCAAGCAATATTTGGTTCAGTCTCAGATTCCTCTAGTTTCCTCTTCTGCTCATATTGATTTGATATTTAGTTTGTCCCATGATTTTTTTCAGTCTAATTCTATGCACAAAATCCTGCATGCAAAACCTTTGCATAAGATAATAGTTTTCCCATGAAAAATTTCGAATTTAAATGGGAAGGGCTTGGGAATAAAAAAAGAGTGGAATTACCTCTGGTTTGGGGGAAAGTGTGGAAGTGTGAAAAAAGGAGTGTGGAAACAAATGTAGATAAAAATGGACATTCCTTTAATCCTACTTAGCATGAAAGATGTGCTCTGGGAAAAGTAGCTCCAGAAAGGCTGACCTCAGGCTGCCAACATATGGCAACACGGCATCCCTGAGTGAAGATCACGCAGAAGAAGGTGAACGGCTCATGACTTCATTCACTTTGCCATATGACCTTAAGCACACTGTCATACAGAAATTCAAAGCATCAAATGATGAAGAAGAACAATAATTGCTACGGTGAACTTTATGTTATACATAAGGTCTTTCTCATCAGAAATTTCTGAGGTTCATATTACATTATGATTCTAAGTAAGCATGGGAAGAATTTGAAACCTTAGAAATATTAGGCAATAAGCCCAATTTTTTCCCAGCAAATACCTGCCAGGGTTGTGCATGGATTTAGTTTCCCTGATTCTAATCACACATTTTTAACTCCTGTGTTACACTGACACCCAAGGAAAGCGACAATGGACCTCAATTTTCACATCTGTCGAGGGAGGGGTGGGATGTTGGACATTAAGTGCTCTAGCATTTCTCACACAACCATGCTATCGTTTCCAGAAGATTTACAAGCTACATTATTCCCATTTAAAACACCTGCAAAAGCACTATTTGTAGTCTTGCCATATGTTTTCAGCAGAAAGCTTACACTTATTTCCCTGTGGAGTAATGTGCTAAGAACTTTCTTTTTTGTAGGTTGGTGTTTATGATGAAGTATTTCATATAATTTTATGTTTTTAATATGTCACATTAAATCTTGGGAAAATCATGGATAAAAAGAGAACAAATAGGTTTGTAAGTGGACTAAATCTAATTGCCTTCTGTTCTAGTTTTTGCACATGCCTAAGAAGAAAACTGATTTTGACAATGCATAAGGGTCTAAGAATATTTTTTTAAGAATTGAAATTATTCATGTTAGTGATTGTTATAGCACTTAAGCTTGAAATCAAATTCACAAAAATTTGAAAAAGTAGATTTGTAAATAATTTCAGCCCTATGGAAATATGTTTTTCCAATATTTACAACACTTTAGTAGCAATTTTATTTTTAAGTTCACTTTAAAAATCTAAACCAAATATTTAAACTATTGCAAATGCTATTATTTGTTTTAAATGCCTTTATTAGTTTTTTGGTATTCTTCCCTTACTATATCAGAAATTTTCTGAAAGAGAAAAAAAATGGATATGCAGGTGAATAGATGCATAGGCAGTAACCTTTGTCTTTGTTATTCCTAGTAATGGTCAATGCTTTTAAGTTCGTCATAGATACGAGTACACTGAAGAGGTATAAGCTCATTAAGTGAAATAAAATCAAATATTCTTTTTTTATGACCATTTAATCCTATTCCATGAAATTATGCTATCTATCCATTCATGCTCAGGTAATAACAAAAATACTTTGGTCACTTTTAATAATGAATAAACAAAATCTCAGTTCAGTTATTAGTACATTGAGAACCAGTGCTGTGTATCAGAATGTCTTTATATCTGCACTGTTCAATAATGTAGCTGTTGAAATCACTGTTCAATAAGTTTTGGGGCACTTGAAATCTGGCTAGTGTGACTGATGAACTAGAATTTTTAATCTTATACAACTTTAGTTATTTTAAATTTAAATTTAAATAGTTTGGTATGGCTGGTAGCTATTATATTGACTGACATAGGTTTATACCAGGGTGATTATCAAAATTTTTAAGTGGAATAGTGGTGGCCAGTTTTTCTAGGATGATGAAAATGGGAAAATGCTTTTTCAAAAGATATAAACTTTCATATTTTCATAGAAATTCATTGTATAGTAATCCCCACCCCCTCCTACAGGGAATACATTCCAAGACCCCTGAGGCTGCCTGAAACCTATATATAATTTGTTTTATTCCAATATATATACATCTATAACAAAAATTAGGCATAGTAAGAGATTAACAAAATAACTAATAATAGAACAATTATAATCATGTACTGTAATATAAGTTATACGAATTCTTTCTCAAAAGAATAAAGAAAAGCCAGGCGCAGTGGTGTGTGCCTGTAATGCCAGCAGCTCAGGAGGTTGAGGAGAGAGGATTGCAAGTTCAAAGTCAGCCTCAGCAACAGTGAGGCACTAAGCAACTCAGTGAGATTCTGTCTCTAAATAGAATACAAAATAATTTGGGGATGTAGCTCAGCGGTTGAGTGCCTCCAAGTTCAATCCCCAGTACCTGGTCCCTTGTCCCACCCATAAGAGAATGAAGACAAATATTGCTTTCAGAACCTGGTGAGTAACAGACTGTGTAAAATGAAATGGCAGCTAAGTGAAGACTAATATACAACATGGTGGCTGTAGTTAATAATTCTGTACTGTTTATATGCAGTTTCATAAGAGCATATTTTAAGTGTATACACCCACAGAGAGGTAACTGTGAGTCATGAGAGATGTGTTCATTATTTGCTTGTTGTAATCAGCACACAGTGTATATGCATAGTGACTTAACATGTTGTACACCTTGAATGTATACACTATTTATTTGTCAGTTAAATTAAAAAAAAAATACATTCTGTGTCCCTCACCCTTTTGGGCCCTTTGAACTTGCAGGTCTGAGGCAAGAATGGAGGGTATGGTTAGCCTTCCCTTTATCCCTGTAAGGTGGCCAGATTGATCCTCCTTCACACGCAATCAAGGGACCCACCTTCAGAGGTGAGAGGCATGAGGCTGAGGTGGTGGGGGAGAAGTTCATGAAAGAGGAGAGATAACAATAGAGCTCCTGTTACCTCTGTCAATGACCAATGTTTCTAGCAGATTCTTCTGAGTTTGGTGATTAGAGCTGCTTCCTTTTCTTGGACTGCTGCTGGAAAGCTTCTCCAGTGCTCTCATGAGTTTTGAAACAATGTACTTTGTTTCAACCTGTCACTTGTGTTCCTTCTCTCTTCGTGGGGCTGGGGACATCATCTTGCCTCTCCAGGCAATCTTCTTGTAGAGGACTTGAACTGGTTCTGAGCCTCTCACCTACTTTACTATGGCCCATGAGAAACAGGCACATTCTCTCTTTCCTTGTAAAATATAGCTAGTGCCCAATGCCACCCAGGCACTCTGCTCTAGTTTTGCACTTCTGGTTTATGAAAAACACTCATGTGTCCCTATCCTTATCTCAAATGGAAATGCAGAAAGTTTCTGAAGCTACTTATTTTCCCTCAGCATCCCCCCAAAACTCCTTCCCACAGATGAGTATGCACACTTCTCACATATATGTATGTAAAAGCATGAGATTAGCTCCAGGATCTGATCACCATAGACTCCAAGGATTTAAAGTCCCAATGTGAGGAGGAGGATATCTGACCTCTGCTATAGCTTCTGAGGTTAGGAGGTATTTCAAACTGACAGTTCCTTGACAGAACTCTCCTGATAATGTCCAGTGCTTATTATGGGGCTCTTTGCCTCTTCATAGTTTGGAATTGAGGAGTCAGCTCAACCAAGGAACGATAGCACTTCCATAGCAAATGATCCAGATGTTTTCTTTGTAAGGTTGGAGCAATTACACAAAGCCTTCAGCTGCAACTGGAAGAGAGAAGGTCCCATTTAAAATACTTACATATGCAGTAACATCAAATGCTTTTATTCTAGTATTTCATATATGTTATTTCATATCAACCCTACATGGAATATTATTTTATTTTTTTTCTTTTTTTTTATTGGTTGTTCACAACATTACAAAGCTCTTGACATATCATATTTCATACATTAGATTAAAGTGGGTTATGAACTCCCAATTTTACCCCAAATTCATGGAATATTATTAATATACCCAATTTAGAAATGAGGAAACTACTAAACTAAATTAGCTAAATTGCCAAAATTATATAGCTTAGGAAAAAGTGGCTAGGATTAAAAATCTAGAAACCAAGTTTTTGTTTCTCTTAATCCATTCTCTTGTGCTATCTTCCCCAGGTCAGTTACTTTAAGTATCAATTTCTAAATCTGCAAGGAGTAAGACTGAGGGTGTATACACACACATACAATTCACAGTTATTTCTCCTATGTTTCTGTGTATTTTAAATTTGGATGCTTCTTAGAATCAACATGCATACTTACTATAATAAAGTAATGCCTTTATTTTCCCAAAATACCATTAAAGAATTCATATTATGTTTAGCCATTTGGAATCTTAGAATCCAATACAGAAACTATAACTGAGTCATTCAAGAAAAACTCTTATCAATACAAGTGGGCACGGACCCATCCCTAATGCAGAAAGCTACCAAGGATCAACAAGAGACAATAACAGGTAAATACAGTTTTATGAGTCAATAGGTCACTGGATGTAATTATAGGATTTGATTTATAAGCAAAACAATGAAAATCTTCAAAGTTTCTTTTTACATATAACACCTTTGAAATACAGTTTTGAGAATTTGAAAGGGAAAAAATTAAAACAAGTTTTTACAGGGCATAAGTAATTAATCTTCCTCATTAATCTATTGAATAATTTTGCCAGTCAGTCAATAGTCCTAAACACTATGTAAGCTGAAAAAAAGATTCAAACTCCTCAATAGGTCTGTCTGAAAATTGATGTTTCACCAAGAGAGAGAGATGTGAACAACCTCTTACAGTTTTGTATTTACATTAATTTTACCCTAGATACAACCACCAGTTCATTAATTTTACTTTAACCAGCTGACTTTACTAGGAAACACAGAAACCTCTTTACTTTAAATGCATGTGTACTGTTGCTACAAGAAAAATAAATCTACATACAAGTACTTAAATGTTGATACTATAAACATGTCAGGATGCATGAGGTTGATTTCTCATCTCTATCATGAGCACATCATGTACTACAGGCATGATAAATTTATTAGGTGCATGCATATAGAACTTTATAAGTGAAATAATGAAGTGCCTCATTTTACATATGAGATCTAAGGAAGTTATGTGATTCTCTCTAGTGCCTTTGCCAGTTGGTAGGAGAGCCAAAACAGATGCATTTAGGACTCCTTTTAGATATACAGTGAGAGTGTTTTGAATTGTCTGGGAAGATAAATGATTTCTAGTTTCTGGAATACTTTTGATCGAAAGCCTTATATCACTTATATTTTCTTTTAGTAGAAAATAAGTACTTAGTATAGCAAAAACCATACAAATACTATTTAGTACTCAAAAAAATTGTGTCCTGTAGCTAAATATGGTTGATCATGTTTGTAAATAAACATCTATGCACCTTAGCAACTTCCACATGAGGGTTACATGATCAGCAGTACAAAAATTATAATTTTTTTCTCACATTCTTACCTCCTCCCTTCCAATCCAACTGATATTTGTCTTAACCTCAATTCTTTTTTTTATCTCCTGATCTAACCAAGCCCCAGCTTTCATTCAGTGACCTAATCTCTGATAACACCCAATTAAGAGATCATTTCATATATTCTCCAAATCGATTCTGTTTCTCCCATGCACAAAAGTTACTGTGGGTATGTGGAGGTATGGGTCTTTATCATTCCAATGCATCTCTTCTCTTTCTGAGTTTTGCTGAAGAGATTATTTATTCTATTTAATGAGAAGGAGTTGAGTTGGAAGGCAAGTGAGGGATCATCACAATTTTACCTATGACTTGTTGACTAGTTATCTAATTTTCTTTCTGTTTAAAGGAAAAGGTAAAACATGTGCTTGATAAACACAGAAGTTGTATACTTAGTTATGGAGATGTTCTGCAGTTGAGAAGTCTGGGGAAAGAAAAAGTTGGTGAGAATTTCACTTGTCCCATATCACAAAATAATTTATTAAAAACTTACTAAAAATAAAATGTACTGTAACCTAGAATTTTACAGCACAATGTAGCTTTATTTTAAAAGTAATTGTAATTTTGAGAAAATTAAAATGATAGGTTTTTGGAAATACCATACTCCAACTTCATACATTCAATATTTATCCATTTGATAAAGAATGAGTATCTCTGGGTGGCAGGAATTGGAAATAAGGCGAGGAATAAGAAAGAGACACTGACCTCAGGAGGGTCATAGACTAAAGTATCAAAGAAAAAATGCATGATAAAACCATAGCTCTGTCTATATGATTTTGTGAATTTAAATTATCAATTATGTATCACAGAACTGGAGAAATTTAAAACTGAGAAAGTCCTCAAATGTAATCTGTTATACTGATCACTTCATGTTACAAAAGTTATGTGTCCCAGAAATCAAAATTTCAGTTTCATAGTTATCAAGCTTCCTTCATGTGGTAAGCACTAAAAATAAAGCTAAGAACAGCATATATCTTGCTTCATTGCTTTTAGTAATTTAAAACATGGAGTCAGTGCTGTGCCAAAAGGAAGTACAAGAAACTAAAGGAACACAGGAGAAGGCCATCTTCCCTAGGTTTTCAGATTTTGGGATTTTTACTGGTGCAGATGCATTTAAGTTGAATCTGGAGCGTTGAGCAGGAATTCTCATCAAAGAAAAAGAGGTAATCATGACATTTCAGGCCAAACAAATAACAAATGTAGAAAATCCAGAGGTAAAGAGAACTTTATGAGTCAGACGAAGCTTTAAGATGTTGCTTCCTTAGACAATGTAGGGGCTCCTGTGATGAGGTAGAGAGATCAGCAGGGTTCATGTTGTTCTGGTCAATGAAGGGCTAGCAAAAGGTTTCAAAGCAAGAGGGTGACAGGCTCATATCTATCTTTCAAATTTTCATTCTCTCAAGTGGATGGAGAGATCATTGAAGTAAGAGAGACCTATTGCAAGTAACTGCAATCACCCAAGTGAATAATAACAGGGGCCTAAGCGTGATTAGTGAAAGTGAGGATGGGGATAAAAGAAAGGATTTCAAAGCTCCTTAGGAGGTTGAAGTGGAAGTATTTGGTAGCTGAAGGGAAGTACTGTGTGTGGGAAAAGGAGGAAAAGATAAGCCTAGATGGCTAACTTGCTTAGGTAATAGGGGAAGATGCAGGTTTCAAAAAGATGGTTGCCTGGTAAATTATAGTTAAAATTTGAAAAAAAACCTGGAACATCATAGAAATATGGAAGAGACAATTAATTAAATGGCTCTAAATTCTCAGAGAGACTTGAGCTGATCTGTCTGAAACACCCATCTCAGAAATCTAATCCCAGTTAACACCTATTCGTTTTTTAAAATTCAAACAATGTACTGCTCTCTTTTATGCCTGGGCTAACTTTGTCTCATGTTTAGTATAGTAAGGATGTTAGTGACAGCCCCTGTTAAATCTTTCAATTGTTTATTTTCTCTTTTAAAAGTTAATGTGCTCCAGGAAGTGAGAAACATTCTTTTTTCCTCCATATTATATTCATCCCCTTGAAGATACTAACATGCTTTTTCTTTCTTGGGCCATCCTAACTGTCTGTAATATGTCTAGATATATGACAGACAACTGCAATAAATGCTTGTTAGATTGAAACTTTACTTAGTAAAGCAAAGATTTGTTCATTGATGTAAGCAATACAATTTAGGTTGGAGCCAGATTGTTCAAGGCCTTTTATGCTTAGTCAAGAGTTTGGATTTATCGTTTTCATTTTGACTACCGTGCTAATTGTTAATGTGTAAAGGGGTTATTTTATAATGATTTATGTGCATTTTACTGAACATTTATTCCTATACTCATGAATGTCAGATATGAATTATGTGTAACCTTGAAAGTTACCATGTTCCATATTTGAATGGATAATGATAAGACGAGGCACTGGATTTCATCTTCCTTTGCTAAGCTAAAGTCACCTTTCTTCAGCATCTTCAACAATGGTGCAGAAAGAAAAGAGGTTTCATTCTTGTTATGCTACTCTGAAAAATTGGGCTCTATTTTGAATTATAAAATTAACTCACACATGCACATTTATAAAAGTTGGATTAAACTATACTTAAAGTTCTCTGGGATTAAACTATTGAATATGTACTTTCCTAGTAAAATCCTCTTATCTTTTGATCTTATCTTAGATTTCATATGTTTAAACTTGGCTTAATATGCATATACCTACTTTATATAGATTTCTTAATAAGAAGTAAACTGAACTCCTCTAATAAAATCTTCACCAAAAGCACTAATTATAATGATTACTTATCAAACTTAGAACAGATGTGTTTTAAAAGATCCACTCCACAGTTTTGTTTGAAAAATTCTGTTAATTTTATTCTAAATAAGGCAAGGGTTTACAGTTCTAATTGAGAAATTCACAATGATTATGAGCTAATTTGATAGGTTGCCAAATGAATATTAATTTTGATACTTGTGAAATGTATTATTTCCATGTTTAATTGAAGGAATGATAACAGACCATTGTAGCAATCCCATTATTGCAAGTGGTATGCATTGTGAATTAATCACATGGATGATAATAACTTGTTACTATCTACAGCTCCATTTTGATATGTAAAATTCCTAACAAAGTGGTTTTATTTCCAGCATCCTGAAACTAAAAAGAAATTGTAGTAGTCTATTTTGAATATTGAAATAGTCATCATTGTTTATATAAACTACAGAGAAATGTAAATATAGACAATAATATCTTAAGTGTTTTATTATCATAATTTTTCAAATCGTTTTTAGACTT